TAAAATATATACAACTATACTAAAATGGAGTGGCGTTCGAGTATTTGAACTGCTGCTGTTTAAAATGTAAAAGTCTGATATAAAAATAAGACCCCTTGCAAGAACTCAAAGACCATACATGCAGGTGCAGGCATTTCTTATTAAGATTGCATTATGTATAATAGGCGTATTCATTTACGCTCTGTAAAAAATCAACTTAGTACTTTGCGTAGCTAGATAACAAAGTGCACCTATGGTTGATATCTTTCTACATCACCCTAAGGATAGACTCGCAGAAAACGCCTATGACTTCAAACCCACATTTGTACCAGTTCAGTGAAAAAGTTAAATATTGCTTTTAGCTGCTGCTAGCTCAGATTTACATCTCAAGAATCCGTGTTTCGTCGCCATTCGTTTCTACATGTTTATACAATGTACAGAAGACGTTAAACATCGCAGACAACGTCCCTGTGTTTGTCTTTGGAGAAGTGCTACAGTTCCCTTGAGCGCTGTCTCAGTATTTGTTAAAAGTTTGCGAGCAAACTACATTTAACTGTACGAGTATTTTCTGATTTACCCAAAGCTGTCGTATATTTTCGCAGTGACTTGGAACATGTTGGTATGTATCAATAGATATGTAACAATGACATCTCCAACTAAGATTCGGTTACACTAAAGACCAACTACGTAGGAAATTACTGTACATAAATGGATGCACCAACAAAGTACACTCCAAGGTTCTGTAGGATGGCAATTTGACACGACTAAACAAAAGTCAGGCAGAGCCAAGGGGTTTACGTACTTGTTTGGCCACGAGAAATGTTACTGTTAATAATACGTAGCCCACAAGACATTCGTGATGCTCCCGATGTCAAACTGCTATGAACTATGGTGTACGTATACTACTATGTACGCTTACCATAGTTTAAAAAACATAGTATAAAAAACGAATAGTGCAGTCAAACAAGTAAAAATATGAACGTGTATTACAAACTGTTCGTTGGTATTATTTTACGATATTGAATCATATCCTACTGTTTTTCTGATTGCTGAACATAAATCGTTCGACGTAATTGGAACTCGCGTACTGCATATTACACACGGATTTATGCATCACAGGTGACACATAAAATCTCAAAATGCATCGGTTTGTTGTTTTTGACTACAGGGACTTGTCATCAAACATATTGGTGAAACATTTTTCATCACATTATTTTCATTTTTGTTTCACATTTTAACTACGAGTAAAACGTCCATTCTATATGAATGTAAAAACATTTTTGAACGGCTTACAAAAAATTCAGTTACAGTTTTTCGAAATTCAATCACTAGATGTTTTTAATTATTTTGATATTCCGAGAAAAAAAAGTAACCTGCGTATAATTTTCTGCATTTTCCTACCTATATAGTAGTTACGTAAAAATAACAAAAATATTACATACGAATTTTCAAATTTTCATTGGAAAATCTTACTGCAAAAATTCATCGTTGCGGCACTAATTACTCATATTCTAGAAACTCCGACGAAATTCATTTTGAACATTCGCTAGATAATGTTCACGATGTTGCATGTTCGCTGCTCATGTTTCGTGTTACACCCGCGAGCATGACGCGGAAGTGAATCAAATTATTTTCATGTTGACACTGCTCGCAACTCGCTATGTTGTGTTGTAAGAGAGTTATTTTCTCTATAGAAGACGTGAGATAATTAGTGTGCCACGCTTTGTTTTGCTCGTGATGACAGGCTCTTCAGTTTTCCATTAAGATAGAAAACATCTTGCTTGATGTTTGATCTGATATTTATTGAGTAGATTTTTTTTAAGAAATGGTAACTGCATTTACTGTTTCGTTTTGGTTGCTCGCTCTATAAAGAGGTTAATCAGTGCATTTTATTTGTAAAAATGTTTATTGTATGAAATAAGAACGGTAAATGACGAAATTATAAATAACGGTAAATGACCAGACGGATCACCTGATGGTAGGCAATCGGCGCCGCCCATGGACACCCGAAACACCAGTGGTGTTACAAGTGCGTTACCGGCCTTTGGGGATTAGGAATTTGAGGATTATTGGGGATTCGGAGATTAGGGAGGGAGGTAATTGGGCTTGCGGTACTAAAAATAACATATTGGTTGGTATTTTCGGTAATTCATTCATTACAACAAACTTTTTATTTTAGAGGAACACATTGTAAGAATGTTTCATGGGTTATAAATAAAATTATCACTAAATTAAACCACTTCGGTCTGTGTCAACAAATTCATACATTATTAATATACGTTTGTTTGATTAATAAAACACATCTTGTAATACATCGTAACATTATGAAACTTCGGCAAACGTAAGCCATAAACTTTTGCTACAGTCTGATGGCAACAGGATAATCTTGAGTAGAAAGTTGTAAAGTCGATAGGATTGGGAACGGGCGTACATTCAGTTCAATACGTTTACTTAAATATAATGTCGATGTTTGAAGTTCAATATGCATGTTTATCAAAGATGAAAAAGGAAATCTTTGAAGTACAATTTCTATTTGAAGATACTTTTAACTTACAGATCGATATTCAGAGGTTGACTTTTAAGAGATTGAATTCAATAATGGAAACGATTGAAATGAGAAGAAATATAAAATTGAACAAAACCTAAAACCAGCTGTATAACGCTCAATAAATCAATCCAATTGTCTGAAGGCTGAGCACGAACGAAACAATGAGCAGAACCTTCCCACTCATCTCCCTTCTCGTTACTTGGGAACAAATGTTAAGGGTCATCTTACATTTTCTCGACTCGAAATAACCGTTGTTTCTAATTATAGTAACCATTATGATATCGAGTTATCAAACCGTATCCTGGATACAATTACTAAATTAGCTTCAACTTGAGCCGCGCCGAGGTATTCGCAAAACATATTGCAAGTAAGAGTTGTAACATGAACCTTTTCCCTTTTTCCGCGACGTACACTTACTCATAAGGTGATCCCTTATCTCCATACAGGCTACGACTGTTCAGTATATTCAGTTGAAATCCAAGTAGTTGCGCCCGTACCAAAACACAAACCCAATAAGAACAATTTTATAGATTAACTTGGTTGGTCAGCATGTGGTATCTATTTTCTGAACCGACAGATGGAAACAAAGGCCGCATCTACCGCTAAGTACATTTCGTGATGCAGTCATTAAAACCATTAAACTAACACAATAAAAGCGCTCAACCAGAACTAAACGGGAACAACTCCAGTAATGTACTTTCCTATCCTGTTACTTTAGGGAAGTGCCGATATTGCTTGTAATAGGGTTCTGTTAGTATAGATTGAGTATATTGTATTATGCCATGATTATTAATATTTTCACACGTAACTATTATTGATGCGATAGATAACATCTATCGCTACAATTTTCTCGTTTATTCTTTTCAGATAATTCCCTTAAATGACGAACACAATTCAGCTTAAAGCTGCAAACATACAACCGTGGGTAATGGGTAAAAACTATTTATAAATGTTCGCGACTTCATATTTCAATATAATTTTGTTAAGTTGACTCAAATCAGTTGATAGTTCTTTTAAACCTAAATTACTTTACGTAAGAACACACTGTCAGCCATGTTATTTTATGGTTTACAAGAATAGAGATCATTCATTACAAAGCACAATTCCGTGGCACCCCTATCTGTACAGGTAGAAATCCATTGTAGTCTCATTTGTTAACAGGAAATACAGATTTTCGCCAAGTCATTGTTTTGTAGGCTTCCCTTTATATTGTTAGCTAATGACTCGGTATTTTTATAATTACCTAAGCTTATATTTCGAGCGAAAATTTTTCTTTTTTGAACAAAATTAGAATGGCAGCTTCATGTTTGGCTTCTTGATAGATCAATTCTTGCCGCATCGAAATATGTATCTAATTAATTTTATTGATTAAATGATGTATTTCATAAACCTTAACATTGTTAAACCACTTCTCTTTGTTATTTCGAAATATTTGGTTCTAAGCATTATGTAGAGGCCTAACTATACTTACCACAAATATCTAAATTCACAATGTATGTATCTGTCACATTGTTTGCTTTCATTAATTAATATTTGCTCCAACATTTGCGGCCTAATGGAAAGTTTTGGTATCGATTTGGTGCTCTGAAAATTAATTGGAATAATTTGGCAAGAAGGACGAATGGGGACAGGTTGGGTAGCAACAAAACCTCATCAGAAACAAATTGGAGGAAATTAAATGTGATGCGTATATTTGCTTGATTATTAAAATCACTCCGTCAAGGGATTTAGAACTCTATACCGCTGTAATATAGTTTTGTTTACGTAAACAAATAGAAGGACGTTCTAGGCCATATTTATTATTACGTCGATAAACGCGATGGAGTCAGTAAATCATAAAGTATGCGTACCTATTACATTACCATAAATATTGGGTAATAAAATATATTTTTGAAATAAACGGCTTTCCGCGTCACCATATAAATAAAAGCCACGCCATAAAACGTTTTTTTTTTCTGCAATAAATATATTTCATAGTATAAACCAATATATCAAATTAGTATTAGTCACACTTCATACACATGAATTAAATTTTACCGCTTATTGCGCTTATACTTAAAAAAATCCACATATAGAGGAAAAAATCTCAATAATGGGAAATGTGAACATTGTTCCGGAAAATGGCGTTTAGGTCGATAAAGTATTGCTTTTGGGAAGCCCAATAGCCGGCTAGTATTAACTAAAAATTACGAATTACTCACGCACTGAGAATAGCTCTACTAGTTTCGAGTCACAGAGGGACTCTTCCTCGTGAGCAGCGTGCGCGGTCGCAACGATGTCTCGCAGCCTACTGGCGGCTAGTAATTAAATTATGATTTCGCAAATTTTGCTGTTTACATCTAAGTAGGTTGAAATATTTCAAAACATTTCCTCATTGTGCCTGTGGTACTTTATACAAATGCCAAATACGTATAAGTTTAATTTCAGTCATATCTTTCTACTATACACGTGTGAACTCCAATTAGGTATTCAGTTAAATTCGTCTATTTTTATTACAAAACAGCTCGCAGGATCGTTCAGAAGCAAATCTATTTTCGTTGCCTCCGCAGCCGGAGTAGAACATCCTCATACATTTTCGTCTGACTACATCAAAGAACCAGGCCACTTGCATGTAGTTGCACGGCCCTTTAACTGGTGCTTGATAACACATGTATGGCATATTCTTTAGACTCGACGGGAACGGTCCATCTACGGGGCCTGGAAACGTAAAAAAGTAATTCAGCAGGAGAAGGACGGAGTGGCTTATAACTTTTTAGTCAGGTATATCTGAAACACTCAAAAAATCAGATTCTGTATTTGACAGATATTTCATCTTAAGCCTTAAGGTGCATGAGAATATTATTTTTGAATTGAGGAGGCTCAGTGAGATGAAGGTTGGGAAACCCTGGCTTAAGGTGTTGCTCGGCAGTCGTGGTTGCTAACACTTATATCCATAAACATATTATTCTTTAACTCGTCGAGTACCGGTTTTATAGACACAATTAAAGAACAATAGGTCGCGGTCACCGGTGACCGCTTGGTGTTTGACAGATTAAATCCATGTAAACGGAACTGATCAATTATTTTTTGTTTGTATTACTTTGAAATAAAAACAAAAGAGAAACAAAAAATATTTTACACTTCATCAATTTCAATTAAAGATATATTATTTAACTTTAGATTATTCTGGATCACGAAATTCGCATTGTACAACAAAATAATCCGAATATTTAGTCTTGTTCTACATTTTCTAGTGAATTTGGATTTTCATCTGTAGCGTGAACTAGAAGCAAATTGCATACAAGTCTCTTGTAGAATTGTTTCCAATACAGCTTTATTGGTCCGTGACACACAATAACAGAACGGGAATTATTCTGGTAACCAACGAAAAGCGTCATCTTTATGATGGATTATGTAACATGTCAAAGTCATAATTACCAGGTCATATATTCTATTACAAGGATAAACATAAATTACTTACGTCCATCTTTCACATAGTCGTGTATGTAGTGATCAGAAAATTTAGAACCAAATACTAGGACAACATTGGCGGTCAATAAACAGAGTATTGTGTGTAACGTCCGCATTGTCTAATCCAATTTCTTCTGGGACGATCACGTGGTGCAAACATGGCGGCATTGCAATCAAACGCGCGCACAACCAGGGCCATCTCGTTGGGATTTTAATTTATGTTATATTTACACAAAGAAATCTGAACGTCAATTTTTAACAGTCCACATTTTTGGTAGAAGTGATGACAAAAATGTAACGGAGTTGTCTATTTATTTATATATATAGGTACGTGTGGTACTGTGAACGCTTTGTTCCAACGAGTTTTATTTCAAAAGGAATTTATTTAAATTTACATTTTACTCCTGTTTTCCGAACAAATAGCATCAAGGGAGTACTTTCAGCGGAACATTCTGCTGTACCAACGAAATCGCGAATGTCAGGCGCTTTAAACACCGCATTAACTTGTATTTATTATGTATAAAAGGAAATTAGACACTAATAATGCATGTTAAGATTTATTGGTTATCCTGGAGCGTGGCAGCCCTGTACGCAATCAGAAACAATCAACCGTTATATTGATGTAGCCAGTTTTATGGCCACAATCTGTATGAATTTTAGATAAAGGAAAGATTGCTCTTTTATTGCGAATCATACTTACACAACTTGCATACAACACAGCACTGTTTTCAATTCAAACACGAATAAATCCAAGTTTCCAAGCTTTCGGTGTATTTCAAACTTTTTCTTTTTTCCATTTGTATGTACTCGTGTTTCTTTGCTAAGCCCTTGTAAATGACAATGACCAAATTTGTATGGAGCTTGGTGCCTTTTCATTTTTTCGCGGCAGTTGATCGGATGTGGATAAACTGATGCAGAATAACATTACAAACAAAAAAATGTATGGGGTCTTATATCAAAAACACAGTCCAAACCGAGTTAAATCAGTTCAATGATGTGAAAATAGTGCTATATAATTCCTGTGATTTTGTTGATGGTGACCGTACACAACGCATATTTCTTCATTTACTTGTCAGAAATATTTTGTAATAAATGTTTATAGACGATTTCAAGGAATATAATAAAGCTTATTGTGGACTTTTATAATTTTTTTTTTTGTTTGTCATTTTTTTTTGTTATAAGGCCACGGAATCGGAACAGAGTGAACCATTAACTAACCACTGCTGAAGAAAAAAAAAACATTACGTTTGATTGGCTAGTGTGTTCAATTTATATGTATACGGTTTATGGCCTATGACAGATTTTCATGATCAATTTCCTCTCAGTCAAAAACCCGCAAAATACTTTACTGAGCCCTATCATGAAATGCTATGTTTATCAACTACGGCGTCGGTAGCGGATTGAGTAGTAACAGTCGTCAAAACACGAAAAAATCATTTTTCTGTCTACTTCTCCCGACTTACTTCCGATTAGTAACTAATCTAACTACAGTTAATACTTTAATCTACATCTGGCATAAGATTCTGGACAAAGACATCGTCATTCAGTCACAAAGTGATGCATTTCGAATGATCATATTATATGAAAAAATTATGCGCTTATCTGACGTATAGTCCATCATTTTTTTAAAGTGGACGATTTGCTTTCTTCAAAAAATTATGCTAACTATAAAGTAGATGAGTCTCCCACCAGGAGTCAACGGCAAAAAATACTTTATTAGATGTTTGGACGGCTACAACTACTCAACCCACCAATGGTACCACAGCTGACACTCATGAAGCTTCATAACACAACTCATAGAAGCATCCAACAAGTTATCGACTGAGAGAAAATAGCTAATAAAAATTAGCGTCTGGCAATATGGATATATTGTGATGTGATTTGGTGTTTCTGTACCCGGCGTACAGTGGCGCGCAATTTGAAGTTAGGAATTGTGATAAAAATATGAATAATTTGAATAAAAAAACGAAAGTAAAATGTTTGATTCCAGCTCCTTTTAACGCTCATAACTCAGTTCAGACTGAGATTTCCATATATGAGCCCATAAACAATTTCGTTTGTAATGACATTCTAGATAATATTTTCCATAAATCATCGACTGCCGCCAGAAAAAAGAAAGGCACCAATTTTAGTCAATGCCCTTTCGTTGGTATATCTGCTGTTATTTAAGCAGCAGTTGTGTGCTTTCTCACACTTTCTTAGAATCGTTTAAGCGCTGTTTTGCACTTACTGTATTATTTCTCGGGCCTTAATCCCACTGAATTTACATTCAATCTGTTCTGTTTCTTAGTTGATCACGTACAAGCGATTTATATTCAATGGAAGGTAAACCTGTATCATAAATACCTTATTTTCATTTTATTTGAAGAAGTTGGTATGTGTATAGTAAGGTATCAGTCTACAATAGTCAGGGTTCTTTGAAAATGGACTTAAAGCGTCCATAGTCTAGTCACAAAGCTTTGTGTCATACGTAAGCGGATTTCATTTTTACGTGGAACCATTGTCCTGATTTCTGTGGTGGTTGAATTAGATTTGTCACATACTACTTCAGTCTGAAATGATATAAAAATATATGTGATGTGTAAAACTACTACTACAAAAAAGAATATCTGCTAAATATTAAAACTTTCGTGAGATAAACTAAATTAATTATTATGTTTTTGGATTACTTAAGCCATGCTAGGCTCTTGAAACTAGTCGAGTTCCTCGTCAAACAGTTACGTAAGCCGAAAACATAAAAATTAATACCTGCTAAAGTATTAGTGTCGGAATATGACTACCGAAATATACAAATATAAATACTAAATTCTTTATATTTTCGTTAATAATTTACAGTGTATGAAATTGATAAAACAAGAATAAAAACGAAATGAATAGAAAAGGTGAATGTAACTAATAATATTTAAATATTCAATTCTGCTTCTTTTATATCAACGCGTAGAGACAATAAAACAAAAATTGCCGAGGACAATAAATTCAAAATGAAACCACAACTCATTACTCGGTAATCAAAAATTCGAATATGCTGAGAAGTTTTAAAATGTTCATTTAAAACAGAATATCAGATGGAATGTCAAATAAATGAGAACGTATCCACGGATAGCGTTGATTAAACAGAATTCAAACATTACAGTTTAAAATTAGCCCTGAACGTTACGGAACCATATGAATGTGAAATAAAGGTTTACATTTCCCAATTCGAACGTTAAAAACAAAGGTCTGTTGGAAAATATCATAAATTCCATCGAGATTGGAGCAAAAACTTGAATAAAGTGACACAGTTGAATATAATACAGCTTTTTTGTAACAATAACTCTACCAATAAAGTAATAACATGAATGTATTGAATTTTTAACTTGTTTTCAAATGTTTTATAGTTGAAATGGAAAATTCTGGGAATTTTACTCGCGTAGGTATGAGTTGTTTAGCCGAGACTGTAATATAATAATTTGGAACAAAAGAAGCCAACACAGTTTACACGTCTATCAGAGATTATCAAACATATCTCCAATAAAACAAGTTGGGATCAGCAAAAAAAACTAACAACAAACAAAACTGAAGAAATCCACAAAACCGTTTATCAAGGGTAACATGTTCAGCAATTAATCAATAAGACAGGATCTGGGCCTTTCGGTTGTCATGACAACGGCCATACCGTCTAAAAATAAATCGTACAAATTAAATTGTACAAGCACTGATTGAGCCGAACGAATGTAGTGATTAAAAGTTTTCTTTTCAAACGTTTAACGTTTTATTCCATTCGGTCTCGTTATTGGATTCTGTAGAATACTTTAGCAGTTTATGTATCGATTAGCAATAAAGTTATTGGTTTTCAACAACCGTCTATGATGTTTAGAACACATTTTAGATTGAAATATTGTTAAAGCAACATTACCAATTACAATTTTTTATTATAATTCGTAGAGAAGAAGGTTATCGCTTTGAACTCCTTAAACCCTTTTTATAATTGTGATTTTACGTAACAAACCGATGTAATTTCTTTTTTGTTTGTTGATCACAAACATGCCTCAGCCAATCATTAACATCCCTACACTAGTAACTGTTTCATCTATGTCTATCCCATATAGTTAATTTATAGCATTTCATTATGAGAGGGTTGTGTCGACTCCTTTACATTAGACTACACAACATTAATCGATTGCCGATTTCATTTGATGTGTAGTCGCGCCAACATCACGCTACGGTTTGCTACAACTTGTCAGCAAGTTACATTTAATTCAACGGCAGTTAGTGACATTATGTGCGCTGAAATCTATGAAACTTTTTTTTTTGATGGGTAAAATCATCCAATGACCTCTCCCGCCCGGGTGAGGCGGGAGGGAGTGTCAGACTCTTACTGACTAAAAACCACTCCGTTCCTACTCCTGCACTTTAAGCCGAAGCCCCGGCAACCCGTTAAGTCTTCCGCGGCTCCGGCATCAGCCCTGTTGGGGCCCATCTGTGGTGGTCTGATAGCTCCTTGAGTACGTACGCTCGGGGAAATCTATGTGCCTGTGTTTGTGTTTCCTGAAGGATATAATGTCCGAGTGAATAGGTTCCACACGGGCTATTAAATTTCACCTTCAATTGAAGCACTTCATGTCCAGCAGTAGTAAAAAGGGGATAATGTTGATGATAATATCAGGTATAGCTCCCCGAGTAATCGTATCAAGACTACCAAATAAAGTAACTCTTATTTGAAGCCAGAAAAGAAGATGTCGTTGCATTTTTCAAATTTTAATGCCACAGAGTATAAATTTTGGCTATTTTCAAAAACATTGTAATCAATAGGGTCGCCCTTACAAAGGACTCATGAGGGATCAAATATATCATTCATTTTAAATTTAGCGAACCATAATTCGTAATTTTAAGGCCTTTGAATTATCGCCTTTATCGTAGTTGTACGTATCCATTCCACCCAGTTCAAAGATCATTAATTTTCATTCATATCGTTATAAGGGTCCGATTTTCTAATCGGCAGTAAATTTACCATTGGTTAGCTTTACCTTCAAAAGCAATTTAATTGTTACGAAAAAACGTATGAGTATTACGGTCTTCAAGGAAAATGTTAGTTTTGGTTTCCCTTAATTAAGTTTGTTTGATAAGAGGAATAGAG